AATTGTGCAGCTGGTCAATTTATATGACGTTGATGGATTTAGCTTTATTTTTGTAGCTTTCACATCTTTTTGTAGCTGATCCTTTCACCGTTTTGTGAGCAGGTTGAAATTTGGTGCTGCCCCAGACAGGAAGGTTAGGGGTTAATGTCTTTCCTGGTTCTTTAGGTTTTGATGGGATATTTCCAAGTCCAACCCACTGAGCCTATGATATAAAAGAGGGACAGTGTGTGAAGTAGAGAGAGAGACCCTGTACAAGGTGCCTAGCATAGCCCAGAAGAACCCACTCTGGGGTAAGCCTTTCATGTGACTCTTGCTTAGCGCCCAACAAGGAGGGAAAACATGGAGGATGTAACCAGCAACCACTACCCTACTCCTTATATTTGGTGCCCAGCCTGATCTACTGGGGTTTTCACGCACAACCATCTCTAGGGTTTACAGAGCATAGTTTGAAAAAGAGAAAATATCCAGTAGGCGGTAGCTGTGTGGACGAAAATGCCTTGTAATGTCAGAGGAGAATGGGCAGACTGGTTTGATATGATAGAAAGGCAACAGTAACTCAAATAACCACTCGTTACAACCAAGGTATGAAGAATACCATCTCTGAATGCACAACACGTCGAACCTTGAAGGTTCCATATGGGCTGCAGCAGCAGAAGACCACACCGGGTGCCACTCCGGTCAGCTAACAGGAAACGGAGGCTACAATTCGCACAGGCTCACCAAAATTGGACAATAGAAGATTGGAAAAAACGTTGCCTGGTCTGATGAGTCTTGAGTTCAGCTGCAACATTCAAATGGTAGGGTCAGAATTTGACATAAACAACATGAAAGCATTGATCCATCCTAAAACAAACAGAAAGATATGTAGTGAGCGCTTTATCCTAAAAGCAGCTATGCACTCAAAGCAACCAATATATGCAGTAAATCAAATAATATAAATTAGTGCAGCGCTAGAATCATATATAAAACTATAAATAAATTCAAACAATGTCCACAGAGTCTATGAAACTGTGATCGTAGAAATTAGTAAGTACTGGTGGTGCTCCTTGGGAAATGATAGAAATGCGCACTCACCAGAAATAAGTAAGATATGAGCGTTGTATAAAATCCCTCATCAGAGGTCTGTTCAAAGGTCTGGTCAGCTTGGGCAATCCTCCCTTCCGTGTGATGATAGGACTCAATGAAGAAGAACAAGATCCAGGTAACCAGAGGTTTCCTCAGAGGGGCTGGCTGGAAGGCACTGCCTGTTTACAGGAAATCTTCCACCTCTTGGTATGGTGCCTGGGTATGTTAATCTGCACTCCTATGCACTTGATATTGCACATCCAATTGCTTGGGTCACTGCATCCTAGTGCTGCCTTTGTCTGTTTTCAGACACATGCCATGAAACCTCCAACTTCAGAAACACCATTTATTCTCTTCTACGGAGCTTTGAGCAGCACCACAGAACATGTATTTTCTGGAGCAATTAGATAGAATTCCCTGTAATGTCTGCTGGGAGCATTCAAATGGTAGGGTCAGAATTTGACATAAACAACATGAAAGCATGGATCCATCCTGCCTTGTATCAACAGTTCAGGCTGGTGGTATAATGGTGTGGGGGATATTTTCTTGGCACACTTTGGGCCCGTTAGTACCAACTGAGCATCAGTTAAATGTCACAGCCTACCTGAGAACTGTTGACCATGTCCATCCCTTTATGACTGCAATGTACCCATCTTCTGATAGCTACTTCCAGCAGGATAATGCACCATGTCACAAAGCTCAAATCATCCCAAACTGGTTTCTTGAATATGTCAATGAGTTCACTGTACTCCAATGGCCTCCACAGTCACCAGATTTCAATCCAATTGAGCCCCTTTAAGATGTGGTGGAACTGGAGATTCAGATCATAGATTTAAGTCAGTTTTGAAGGCAAAAGTGGATCCAACCCGGTACTAGCAAGGTGTACCTAATAAAGTGGCCGGTGTATATAGCAACCACACCCTGAAGACGCACAAACTGCTTCACGTGTGTTGCTAGCTGATACTATGGGCGAATGGACTGCCTTTGATGAAGCCCCCAGTACTGACTGATACCGGAGCCCAGTATGTTTCCTTTCTAGGTTTTGCCTTCTGCCAGGTTTGTCCCAAAGAATTGCAGATACTCTGTCTGCTATGCCGGAGGCACTTTGGCACCCTTGCCAACTGCATCCACTGCTTGGTCTGTGAAGTGCCGTTGTTCCAATGGATGGTTGAGAAGGAGAAGCCCTGCATCATCGGGCTAGATCATCTTCAAGAGACTGCTGCTGCCACCAGAGAAGACGGTATCCCTAAGCCTCCAGCAAAGATACTGAAACTTGGTTTCAGTCCTGCACGTGACAAGTTGAGCCGCCATCCGGCATCACTGCTACAGAACCTGCACCTGCTCGAGAGGAACCCTACTGTCCTAAGGAGGTCTTCTTTGAAGAGTTTCCACCTCCACCTTTTCCAGTTGTGGACTTCAGAGATGAGGAGGATGGACCGGATAGTTCAGGCTCACTCCTGGACTTGCTAGCACCGAAACATTGACCAGCCACTCCTAATGGAATACAAACCAATACGGGAGACCCCGCTTGTTAAGGCACCACACTCCCAAGACCGATCAAAGGGAATTTCATGGGAGAGATTGGTCTTTGACCTGGATGAGGAGCTGCCCAAGATCCCTCATCCATGTCCCTCTTTGTCACAGGTACTGCCAGCAGCTGCTTTCTGCCCAAATAGAGAGTATATGGTAAGGACACCCAACGCCTATTTGCTGCAAGAGTCGTTACATTACAAAATGCAGAACACCCACTTAACACAATTACAATATGTACGCACCCAGTATGGGAGGAAATTTCCTTATGTCCCGAAAACAGTTGTTTTTGCAGTTGGAGGAGGATAAAACTAAGATCGATGGAAAAGCTGTTTGGGAAAAGATATTGGTTCCTGAATACATGCGGGACTTTGCCAAACAAAATGAATACATAGAGGCAGAATTCCACAAACTCTACCAGTATTACAATGTGGGGAGGTACATCTATATGGACTGGGTAGAGATTGTAAATCCTGACTGTTGCCGCCCTGCACCGTGCTAGAGGAGTTCACAGGTAAATCAGTGTTCCTGCCAGATCCTGACTTTTATGTGTGATTCTGTTTATAGAGTGTTATAGTGCATGTGCATTTATTGAACCCAGTTACTTCTAATGTTTTTGTAAACCCTGTTGTGATTTTATAGTTTTGGGGGGTTTAGATGCTATCTGGCAGTGAGCATCAGAGGGGGGGGGGTGGAATGTAAGCATGCTGAAATTAAATAGGTGCTGCCCCAGACGGGAGATGGGATATCTCTAATTCCAACTCACTGAGCCTGTGATACAAACTAAATCTTTCCAAAACTGAGCTCCTAGTTTTCCCCCCAGCCCGCACCCCCCCCTGACCTCTCCATCAAGACCAACAACACCACTTTCAGTCCCTACCCTCAAGCCAGAGTACTAAGTGTAATCCTAGACTCCAATCTGTCCTTCCAGCCCCAAGTCCAATCGCTGACTAACTCATGTAGACTTCACCTCAGCAACATCTCCAAAATACGTCCGTTCCTAACCCCAGGAAACCACTAAGCAACTCATTCACTCCCTTATTATTTCACGACTTGACTCCTCCCTCCTCATCGGCTTACCTCACCGCAGGCTATGCCCACTTCAGTCCATCTTGAATGCTGCAGCCAGACTCGACCAGCACACAAACCGCTCCGTATCCGCCACACTCCTCTGCCAATTCCACTGGCTTCCGATTGTCCAACGGATAAAATTCAAAATGCTAACAAAGCTGTTCATAATACTGCCCCATACTACATCACCGATCTGGTATCCAAATACCACCCAAAACGTACTCTATGCTCCTCACGAGACCTCCTACTCTCTAGTTCCCTGGTCTCCTCCTCCCATGCACACCTCCAGGACTTCTCCAGGGCTTCCCCCATCCTCTGGAACTCCCTACCCCAATCCATCAGACTATCACCTACTCTCCTCACCTTTAGGCGCACCCTGAAAACCTATCTCTTCAGGGAAGCCTACCCTGGCCTCAGCTAATTACTGAACTCCTCCACTCTTCCTACCACTCCATCCCCCACAGTTATTTCCTCCTGTACCACTATCCCCTCCCTCCTAGATTGTAAGCTCCAAGGGGTAGGGCCCTCGAACCCCTTGTGTATTGAATCTTATTGTTATTGTACTGTCTCGTGTACTGTCTCCCATTGTAATGTAAAGCGCTGAGCAAACTATTGGCACTATATAAATCCTGTATAATAATAATATTATAAAAGAGTGACTGTAGTTCGGAAAAGAGACTTCCCCAAGGAAAGCCGAGAGCCCAGACTACATCTGCCTGCTGGATGGGAGAAAGGACACAAGATGAGACACAAGGTATATGGCACAATCCCAGAAATACATAAGTAGATAACTCCCTAATAAAAGCTTAGTAATGAAAAAGGGCTGAGTTCATAATTGTCCATAATAATAAATATAGTCCTTAGTAATCTTTTGCACAAAGCAGGCAGCTCCACCAAGAGACAGGAATAGATCTCTGAAAAGACAGTAGGGAAGACAAGGGGGGCGTCATTAAGTGCACTATTAAAAATCAGCTTTAATAAGGTAGCCAAATGTGCATTCACATCAATCCACAGAAGGAGCGCTTGTATTTACAATAGCATCTGTGGAGGGATTGTCCACACACCAGGAGGAAATGTCAGCAGTGGCTAACAGCATGGAAGGATAAGCCAGGCAGCCGCATGTCTGCTTCAATAGACGAGCATCTGAAACCACTGTGGAACACGGAACCGGAAGTGATGTCAGGCTGGGGGGTAATCCGTTGCCTAGGTAACGTGATTCGGAGTGCCAGTCAGCTCCTTTGTCAAACCACTGTGGTGCCTCTGGTGCAGGGGCCTTGCCACACATGTACAGGAGGTTCATAACAAAACAGATTCAGTGGCAAAGGCGGACCGACCATTTGGAAACTCGGGCACTGCCCGAGGGCCCGGGGTCAGTAGGGGGCCCCATGAGATGCCCCTGGTACCTTTTTCATAGGCTTATTTTGAGTTTGACATATATAAACCGTTTTGTAAATCTCCCAGTGAATACCCAATAAATAATCAATCAAATGTTCAATAAATAAATAAATAAATAAAATCTTCAATCAATATGTGCACAATTCATTAATCCATAATGTGTCCAATGAAGTAGAAATCTCAAATGTGTCCAGTAAAGTCCAAAAATCCAAAATTTAAACTTAATCCAATAGGAAGGATTTGAATCCTAAATAGTCCGTGAAAACCTCAAAAGAAAAGAAACAATCTATAGTGCATTAACTTCAAACATATCCATAGACCCACTCCAATCCGTGCAAAACAAAAACCACTCCAAACTGTGTTATTAGTGCAAACACACCACAAAAAAGAAAAAAAAAACAAAAACTATGAATAGTAGATTATATAATTATTAAATGCTACATCCGTGAATACTCCAAAATTGTGAGCACTCCGTGTCCACTCTGATACTGTGTACACTCTGTGATCCTCTGTGATCCAACCAAAATAATTACTAAATACTATTACCCTCTGCGAGTGATCATATGCATAACCAATATCTCAAGAATGATATCTTCCAATTCCTTCACCTCAGGGGTTGATCCTCCAACATCTTCATAAAGACAAGAAGACTCTTACGGATATGCAAGTATAGGGACAATTTTATTGAAAAACTTACATCTAGATAACCAACTTCGAGCTCCTCATGTGGCTCTGATACAGCACTGCAAACAATGGCAAAAACTCATGTGTTGATAACCAACAAAATGGCCGCGGCAACACTTCCAGTTAGCGCGCGTGCGTCTTGAAGTCACTTCCCCTAACGTGTTTCGTCACATCCGGACTTCATCTAACCAGAAGTGTGACCACCATGGCTCGCCCCCCCCCCTCCTCTTCTCATTGGCTGACTGGCTGTGATTGATAGCCGATGGCTCCCACTTCTGTCTCAGCCAATGAGGAGAGGGAGTCCCGAGCTAGCCGAGACTCCAGTACACATCGCTGGATCGAGAGGGGGCTTAGGTGAGTATTGGGGGGAGCTGGGGGAGCACAGAGACGGTTTTTTACCTTCATGCATTGAATGCATGCAGGTAAAAAAAACCTTGACCCTTTAGAACCACTTTAATCACTGTTACATAACTGGATTTTTTATTTTTATAATCTTTTAAAATTAAAATGGTAAAAGTACATTTTGCTATGTACAGTACATGTATTTTTTGATCAGATGCTTTACTCTGTAGTGATTCTCTGTTTTGCACAGCACCACAGGAGATGATAGCACTGTACAAGGCAGTAGTTGCAAAATGTCATCATAATATTCTGTATTTATTGATCAGTGTAGGGCACAGAAAATGTCCTTTTTGTACTTGCTGACTCAATATAAAAAGAATAATTATTTCACTGTCTTTCCTTTAGCACATTGCAAAACTGTGGAACTTCACCTGGATGTGTTTAAAATCTTTGGTTTCTGACCTTGATTATTTAAGCTAGGCATCACTAATTGGCGGACTGCGGTCTGGATGCGGAACGAGCTGCTGTTCCATTGGGACCCTCGAGTCTCGCTATTTAGGGGTCACTTCTTTCCTCCAGCCTTCAACGCTGTATTGTAACAGCAGAGCGGAGAGGGGGAGACACAACATTTCTGGACCAAGCGCGGGAGGAACAGCATTGAACGGAGTGCAGGAGCGGGAGCTGCTGGGGTTAACCAGCAAGTGATTGGTTGCTAGGATGAAAGGCAGTCCTAGCAGCCAATCACCTGCTTGTTAATACAAAAAGTTAGCCCTGGCAGCTCCCACACACTGTTCAGTGCTATGCTGTGCCTCCTGCAGAAATTTTTTGCCTCCTGCTTTCCGTTCTGTCTAACCCTAGGTTCACACCTATGCGTTTTCAGTAGCATTTTGCAGAAATGCACTATAGTCCATTTAACATGATTTCCTATGAGACATGTTCACATCTCCGCGTATTCACACGGTGCGTTTTTTGGAAAGGGTCAGGGACTTTTTTGAAGTTGTGTTTTTGGCTCTATAGACTTCAATGGAAACTCTGCAGAAAAGCATGTAGTGCATTTTTTATGTGTTTTTGCCACGTTTTGATGCGTTTTAAATCTGCCTAGCGACAAGAAAAAAAAAAGCAGCGAAAATGCAGGTGCAAAAACGTAAAAAGCAAAGCAGAAACAGGACAAATGCAAACTGCATAGGTGTGAATCTAGCCTAAGGTAGAAGAGATGCGTTTTGCGTTTTAAATCTGCCTAGCGACAAGAAAAAAAAAGCAGCGAAAATGCAGGTGCAAAAACGTAAAAAGCAATGCAGAAACAGGACAAATGCAAACTGCATAGGTGTGAATCTAGCCTAAGGTAGGAGACTGAAGGGGAGCAGAGGACAAAACTCTGGGTGTGCTCTGTGTGGTGGGGAAATGATGTGAAGGGGGGCAGGGCTGGGGGGGGGTGTTAAGAGGGCAGAGTACACACAGTGCGTGTGTGTGTGTGTGTGGGGAGGGGTGATGTAAAGGGAGGGGGCAGTGCTGTGCATGTGGGGGGGGGGGATGTGAAGAGGGGCAGTGCTTTGGAGGGGGTGATGTTGGGGTGATTTTACAGAGACATTGTCACCAACCTAAAAAAAAAATGCAGGTAAAAGCATTGCAAAATTAAGTGTTTTAAATGTTTACTCGCAGTCTTTTATCCTTTTCACAAAAGACCTTTAATTCACTTGCAATGTGTCTTTGAACTTGCTAGATTATCTGACTAATTTGGGAAGAGTCAATTTCCTAGCACAGCCTCCCTCCATGCATGGCTTACCGCTCTCCTGTTAATGGAGTGTCTAATAACTGTGCTGGCCCAACTCTTCTCCTCCAGCTCCCCCCCCCCCCCCCCAAGATGGTTGTGCCCCAGAGAAGTCACAGGGCTTTTGGATGTCTACACAAGGGAGACGTTTGCAGATAAATAATGTGCATAAAACAGAATAAAGTTAAATGTAATCTTCTAGGAAGATTGTTGGTAAAATGAATGGTCTGATGACAAGGTTAAACATTCTATACTTTGTGCTATTAGTATCTATGTTGAGTAAGGCAATAAGGGTTTTAAAGAGTTTGACACATAAAGTGTAATGGTAAGTGTTTTATAGCGAGGTATGACTGTTACTGAATATGGCCTACATACAGTGGATATAAAAAAGTCTACACACCCCTTTTAAATTGTCAGGTCAGAAATGAGACAAAGATAAATCATTTCAGAACTTTTTCCACCTTTACTGTGACCAATAAACTGTACAACACAATTGAAAAACAAACTGAAATCTTTTAGGGGGGGAAGTAAACATAAAAAACTAAAATAATACGGTTGCATAAGGGTGCACACCCTCTTATAACTGGGGATATAGCTGTGTTCAGAATTAAGTAATCACATTCAAAATCATGTTAAATAGAAGTCAGTACACGCCTGCCATCATTTAAAGTGCCTCTGATTAACCAAAAATAAAGTTCAGCTGTTCTAGTAGGTCTTTCCTGACATTTTCTTAGTCGCATCCTAGAGCAAAAGCCAAGGTCCGCAGAGAGCCTCCAAAGCATCAGAGGTATCTCATTGATAAAAGGCATCAGTCAGGAGAAGCATACAAAGAATTTCCAAGGCATTAGATATACCATGGAACACAGTGAAGACAGTCACCATCAAGTGGAGAAAATATGGTGCAACAGTGACATTACCAAGAACTGGACGTCCCTCCAAAATTGATGAAAAGACGAGAAGAAAACTGGTCTGGGAGGCTGCCAAGAGGCCTATAGTAACATTAACCACTTGCCTACCGGGCACTTACACCCCTTCCTGCCCAGGCCAAGTTTCAGCTTTCAGCATTGTTGCACTTTGAATGACAATTGCGCGGTCATGCAACATTGTACCCATATGAAATTTGTATCATTTTTACACAAATAGAGCTTTCTCTTGGTGGTATTTAATCACCACTGGGTGTTTCATTTTTTGCGCTATAAACAAAAAAAGAGCAAAAAAATTGAAAAAAAAAAGTTTTTCTTTGTAGCTATTATAAAATTTTGCAAACAGGTAATTTTTCTCCTTCATTGATGTGCGTTGATGAGGCAGCACTGAGGGGCACTGATAGGCAGCACTGATGTTGCACTGAGGGGCAGCACTGATGGGTGGCACTGCAGGGCACAGGTGGGTGGCACTGATTGGCCTAGGTGGGTGGCACAGGTGGGTGGCACTGCTGGGTACAGGTGGACGGCACTACTGGGCACAGGTGGGTGGCACTGCTGGGGACTGATCATCAGAGCCCTGATGATCAGTGCCGATCCCTTTGCTGATAATTGCCGGTTCTCTGTGACAGCGTGAGGGAAAGTGCAGCCGATAACCGGCAACTGTATTTACCCAGTGATCGCTGTGTCATTGGACACAGCTGATCATGTGGTAAATGGCCACTGTGATTGGCCGATTACCATACGTGTGCGCCGCCACTGGGGGGCGTGCAGGGGGGCGTGTCCTGGAATGACGTCCATGGACGTCATCCCAGGATTACACAACTGCGCTGTAGCCGTCCTTCAACTATAGCAAGGTTGGGAACCGGTTAAAGGAGCCGCAGGAATATCTGAGTGTGTGGTACATGTGACAACAATCTCCCGTATTCTTCATATGTCTGGGCTATGGGGTAGAGTTGCAAGGCAGAAGCCTTTTCTTACGAAGAAAAACATCCAAGCTCGGGCTAAATTTTGCAGAAAACACATCTGAAGTCTCCCAATAGCAATGTGGGGAAATGTGTTCTGGTCTGATGAAACCAAGATTGAACTTTTTGGCCATAATTCCAAAAAATATGTTTCATGGAAAAACAACACTGCACATCACCAAAAGAACACCTACCCACAGTGAAGCATGGTGGTGGCAGCATCATGCTTTGGGTCTGTTTTTCTTCAGCTGGAACTGGGGCCTTGGTCAATGTAGAAGGAATTATGAACAGTTCCAAATACCAGTCAATATTGGTACAAAACCTTCAAGCATATGCTAGAAAGCTGAGCATGACAACG